AGAAGAGTACCTGACACACAGTAGGCACTATAAAAAAAAATTTATTTCCTTCCCCTGCTGGAGTAGGAGAACACTGTAGGCATAGTATATCTCGCTTTAGGAAGTCATCATTTCATCCTTGTGAGCAAAAAGGAGAAATGTGAGCTAGATGATAATGTTAAAGAATTTCTATTGCAATGAACCTCACAAGTCATCAATTCCAGTCCCACCAAGAGAATCCTTTCTATATCATCATTCTATATCATACTTTCCTTGAAGACCTCTTATGGGGGGGAACTCACTACCTCTCAGGGCAACCTATTCAACTGGTTCAATGGCTGGCATCAAAGAGTAGTGATTATTGCATCAATGTCAACATATCTGGAGGTATCTAGTAGAATGCACCAGGTGTCTCTCAGTCCTGTTCTGTTCAATATTTTATCATTGTTGTAAATAAAAAGTATAGATGTCATACTAATCAAATCTGAAGATTTAAAGGGGGTGCAAAAACATGTTAAAATGTTGGATCACAGAATTAGGAACCGAAAAGTTCTTAATAAGGATAGAACAAAAGAGTCAAATCTAAGAGGATAAAATTTAGTAGGGATAAATATTAAGCCTCACAATTGGGTTAAAAAATCAATTGCACATATATAGGATAGCTAGTCCCAGAGGGTTATATTTGGAGACAAATAATCTCATTTTAAATGCTGGTGCTGTCCATTTTCCTGATTTAAATTAGACACGTCACTTAACCTCTTTAGGCCACTTTTTCATTATCTGTAAAATTACAAGAGAACATTGGACTAGATAATAAAATAGTCATGGATGTAGCACGGGAAGGAACCCCAGAGGCCATCTACTCCAATCCCATTATTTTGCAAATGACCTCTAAGATGCTTTTTAGCTATAAATCTGATCCCATGTTTGCTACAGCTTGATTTCCCCTACTGCCCCTCCAGAGAAGAATATTCTGCCAACAAATATAAGTGGCTATAAATGACCCTGTCAAGAAAAAATTACCAGCCCTTATCCCACCCACCACACACTACAACTTGTCCATTCCTGAAAACCTCCATATGGTGTAAAATAAATAGTCAATACTGGATAGCTCTTTATAAGGAAGAATATGTGATTGTTGTCACTCTCGCTTCTGGAAGGTGGGTGAGTGGGAGTGAGGGGGAGAGTAGTAACTAAGTCTCATAGTCACGAAAAACAAAGTGAAGGCAAAGGACAACCCACAATAGTCATTAGGCTGTTTTCTTCCCATGTGGATAATACATGGTTTCATTTAAATAAGAAAAAAAAGCTTCCATTAACAGTATTTAATAATTGCAGCTTAAACACTTCCCAGCTCTTAGCTGTTAAGACAACTCCAGGCACCTCACAGGTTGCTTTTAAATTACAAGTAAAAGCAGTCCTGTAGAGCTAATTACCTATAAACCTCAGAGTAGATCTCACCGATTGGGCTGGGCTAGGGGGGGGAGAGACTCAATGTTAAGCTTCTCCAAACTACAATAAATGGAGTGCCAATTGAGTGGAAAGCTATACCTACTCACATGCCAAACCTAAGCATGAAGACAGACAGGATGGCTTTGCAGTGACCACAGTGGGAAATGATGGGGAGAAAAAGAGCCTCAAAAGATATCCGGCACGAAAAGGGTCTACCTAAATCAAGACCTGTTTCTGGGCTAAGTTCTGAGCCTGATGCTCGAATATGTTCAGTTTCTAGATATGAAATTGGAGGGAAGAGGCCAAAAACAATATCTACCAGCTCTAGGAGCAGAGTCCTATCATGTTTCCTTGACCACACTCACACTTATACCTCTTGTATTCTAGCATTCACATTATATTCACAGGTTCTTGTGAATCTCATATAACTTAGTTCTAACATGAAAATCTGGCAATACTTATAACAATGTCTATCAGCATCTTCCTATGGCAATGAAAGACAGTATCTTGAAATTGACTATTATTGATGACTTACTACATCTTTATGGCAGAAATTCTAATGGTTTGCAGAAAACGAATCTTGAAAATTGCATTTGTGAGTCTGGCAGGAGGGAACATTAGAGAGGATGATTTTCAGGAGAGGCTGCCTCAGGAGATGATCTGAAATGTGACAAATTTTGGAAACTAGAAATAAAAATAAGTGAGGGCACCAAAGAGTTACTTAATCATTGTTAGTGCTAATCACCATAATGTCATGTAGTATAAAATTGGAGGAACATGGACCAAAAGAAGCAGCCGGTAAAATTGGAGTCAAGAAGCTGGTCAAAGAGGCTAGAAGCCCTGGGGTTCAACACCTGCATTGACTATGGTACTTAAGCTCACAGTGCCTCAGTCACTTCTTTACCGTTGTAAATTACAGATAAGTTGCTGATCTGTGTTGATGGAGGAAGTCAAATCAAGAAGAAAAAATGCATGGCCCAGTGGATAGAATGAAGGACCTACAGTCAAGAAAATTTGTATTCAAATTCTGCTTTTTAATGCTTACTAGTTGCATACCATTGGATAAGAGTCAACTTCTCCATGTCTGAGGCATAAAGTTGCCTGGGATTTATCTAAGTCATAAGAGTTCTTTTCAGTTGGTGCATCGTGAGCTCTCAAACCCAAACGCCTTCCACAAAAATCAGTTATTTCAACTAGAAAGACAATGTACAGTAGTGTCCCTGAAGGCAAATAAAGAAAATGAGACAAAAAGTAGTCCAAGGAGTTGTAGTCTGAACTTTAATCAAACATCTTAAGTGAGAAAATGTGATACTTTAGAAAACTGCTGCATGCACAAGATAGCTAGATCAATAAAATGTCAATTAGCTGACTTAATGCATCTCTGCTATACAGACTTTTCTCTTAATGCATCTGAGCTATGGATTTTCTCCTACAAATAAGTTAATTCTTCCAATAACTCTCATAATATCCTAAGCCACAAAAGTCCTTATTTTAGAATTTGAACAACTTTTCCACATGAAAAAGAAAAAAAAATACATTTACTAGTATCCCTGTAAGATACACACTCGAACCCCTGTGGAGTATTTATGGGAGGACAGGAAACAAGAGCTACGAAGTTATGGGAGGGTGTGATCTGCACTCATGGAGGAAGTGTACACCTCAGTGAGGTCAGATGTGTGATTACTGATCTACCCAAAAATGAAAGAATTATTGTACAGCCATATGAACAGTCACAATCACCCCCATAATTCAGACAAAAAGTCCATACACTTGGTGGCAGAAATCCATGTCTGGAGGCTGTGATGCCATAAAGAAGTCAACTGAGAACAGATCCACCCTGAAGTTAATGTAGTAGATTGAAACTGAGCTTGCTTCCTCATTGGTTAGCCACTTGTCTAAGATACCTCTATGCCTCCCAGAGATGCCAACCAAAGCAAAGGATTTTTGTCTGTATTACTAGGACAATTATGGCTACTGTGGGGCTAGACTTGATGTAACTGGCTGCCCAAATACTGATATAGCATTACTTTTAAAATGAAAAAAAAATTAGAATATGACATTGTTTCCATTTTAATCCCCATTTATTTGCTCCTACATAGCAAGTGGCCGTTTCAAAATATTCTAACAGGAGATTTGCTAAAATTATAAATCTCAAAGACTCTATTTTGACTTCCATTTGCACTTTACATTCTCCATATGACAGAGTTAATAAGTCCTTGTATACACATGCACAATGATACTCGTCAGGGTATTGAGTACTAAATTGAAACCAGTGTCAACTTGTTGCTATCCAGTGCTTCAAACCCCAAGCACACAGATGACTTTGTAGAAACCAAATCATGTCACTGGCTCATCTTGCTAACTGCTCTCTCTACAAACATCAAACCAGATTTTTTTTTCCTGTGAGTCAAGAAAGGATAAGAAGAGACCTGTGTAATCAGAGGTGACCCTTTTGGTTTTTAGTCCTTAAGGAAAGGCTTCTTCTTCTGGAAAAAGTGGAATGTCCAGTGGCCCATGTCTAGTTGGGTATAGCCTTTGATCCACTACCTGCACTCTCCATAAGTTCTAACACTTAGGAGCATGCAATAACTGCTAAGTTTAGCTATGAAGTCATTGTACTATGAGTGTTTAATTATATCATGTGCATTGAGATATTTTTAATGTTAAGCATACAACAGAAATTCTTACTCTCCTTAGCAACCGTTAAATTACAAAATGTAAAAACAAAATAAAACTGCAATCACACTTGGAGGGCAAATAGAACTGTTACAAGTTGTTGGTTGCAATGAGTTGGTGCATGCTATAGAAACCATGAAATCATTTCCTAAATGCAAAAGCCCCCTCATTTGTTTTCACAAGTGCTTACTGTTGCTGGCTCCTACAATTAACTCTCAGCTTACCCAGTGTCGATTTAATATCTGACACCTCCTAGATCCAGGAATGCAAAAAGCTATTAGAAGGATCAAGTTCTTGATTTCTTCACTGAGTGAATCTCATTCAGAAGTGACTTTGCCATCTCTGAAGCACAGTCTTACAGAAGAAACCTTAAAGATAACACATATTTTGCAAAATTCTGCTCTTGCGCTACTGTGAGCTAATAAAATACATTGGATAAATGAACAAAGACCAAATCAAAGTTAGCAGGTATCTCCTAAATCATACAGCGTAAAGAATCTTTGCCCCATGCACACCCAGGGCTTCTAATAAGATATTAAACAATGAAGGAGAAAATAAAGGTACTTTAATCACGGTGAGTGATCCAAAAGGAAAAGGGGAACGTCTCGTACGAAGTTGATGGTTTAAAATGAAGTTCGCATGGGTGTTTAAATTACCACCTTAGGGGTCCTGTTTCCCCCTACCAGCAGTCTTAGGGGTAATAACAGTCAATGGACCGAACTGAACGATTTGGAGAAGAAAGTGAGTTTTCTTTTCCCCCGGGACACCCCCACCCCACTCCTCTCGCGTTCTGAGAGTGAGGGAGCTGATGATCCTGGATGTCCCTGTGAGAGCTGAGTGAAGTTTCTCGTGTCAGCTTTATTGCAGTATATTTCATGAGTCTTCTTCCTCCAGGGATGTGATGCTTTGGAGGAGGGGGCGGCCTGGGAGTTGGAAGTTGGGCAACCTCTCCTCCGTCGCCTAGGCTGCCCTGGCAACCGCGTCACCAGTGCTGGCCAGCGGCCCGGGTGCCCAGCTGTGCCTGGGACACGGCTGGTACAGCAGTGGCGGCAGCCGCAGCCGCAGCCGCGTCCCCAATACCTGGCAGGACCGAGCGCACCGAACGGCGGAACTCCTCGTTCTTCCAGGTGTAGAGCAGAGGGTTGAGGGCGGACAGAGAGCAGCACAGGAGCCAGCTGGCTGCCTGCAGCCCCCAGGGGACAGGCAGCGAGAAGCCGCTGGCTAGGCTCACCCACACGAGGGGCTGCGTGGCCAGCAGGAAGACGCAGCAAAGTAGCAGCACTGACAGCCCGTTGAGGCGCCTCTGTGCCCGGCGCGGGTGCAGAGTGGGCGGCAGGGGCTGAGCTGCAGCTGCGGCCGCCTGGGGCACTGGGTGCGGGTGAGGAGGGCCAGGAGCACTTGGAAAGGCGGCCGCGGCCGCAGCACAGCCTGGCAGCTGGTGCAGCAGGTGGAAGTTGAGCACGCTGACCCGCTTGACGCTGACCCGCACCCGGCGCACGATGCCCAGGTAGCAGTGCAGCAACAGCGCCGTCTGAGCCAGCAGCGCCAGAGCGGCCAGCAGCGCCGGGTAGTGCACCTCGGGGGGCACGCGACCTGCCGGCGCTGCCCAGGGAGGTAGAAGCAGCACGAGCACCAGAGCCAGTGCCCAGCTCAGTGCCAGCATGCCTGCCGTGTGGCGCCGCTGGTATAGCACCTGGTAGGTGGCGGGCGCCCGCGTAATGAGCAGATAGCGGTTCAGGGCCACCAAGCAGTGGGATAGGAGGGACACGGTGAGGCCGAGACCCAGCAAGCCGCCCCGCAGAAGGCGGTAGCTGCCCCCAGCGCCATCCCACCCCCCTGGAGGCTCGGGCGAGGAGTTGGGCAGCAGCCCTAATACCGCCTCCTGCGGCATCCAGAGGGCGCACACGCTCAGGTCAGCAGCGCAGCCGTTCACGATGAAAGCGTTGCTAGTGGTCTGGAGCTTTCGGAAGGATGACACCAGGTAGATGACCATGCCGTTGGCCAGCGTTCCCCCGATGGCCAGGCCCGAGTAGAGGAGGGACACGGGAATCCTGCGGCCTGCCCACGAGTCCTCCTCTTCGCACAGCAGTAGCAGCGACCCCCCGGCACTGGAGGTGGTGGTGGACGTGGAGGAGCTGTTGGTCATGCTGGCTTCCACTTTCACACCCAGCTCTTTAACTTTGACTTCTTTCTGAAGGCTCCATTACATCCGACACTGTTCCGTAGGGCCAAAAGGGTGGAGGTCCACCAGACTCTACCCCCCAAATCAAAAGGCTGTGGAAGAATGGACTTTAGGTGAAGATCTGGGGAGGGGCAGAGAGATTGCAAGGTGGTAGGTGAGTTTAATTTCTGGTAGCAGGTACCTGCTTCAGAAATGTCTCCAGAGCAAGGAAAAAGAGTTCCTGCTTTCAGTAGGAACGGGGCAGACAACAGCAGTAGCAGAAATAGCCTTCCTCCTTCCAGTTGGAAATGATGCCAGCTGGAGCACCCACTTACAGGAGCCAGCAGGTATATCCCAGCTGGGAAAAATGCCCAGATGGAGTGTTGGGGGGGGGGAGTGGGGATGGAGGGATAGGAGATACCTTGCTCTCAGGCTGGTCCTATGCAGACAGTAACAGAGGAAGTAATCTTCCAAAGCATCTTGTAGCAACAGCAGCACCTGTGGTCCCAGGAAAATGCCATCAGAGAAGTTCCATTGGGATCAGTGCCAGGAGCATGGCCAATACTCACGAACTGGGCACATGGTCCAAGGCTTGGCAGCAACAGCAGTAGCAATAAGCAAGGAGGAGCTTCCCAGCTGGCAGCAGTGCCAGGGGGAAGATTATCTGACTTTTAGCAGGCTGGAGACCCACCCAGGCAAGCAACCTCCTGCAATCACAGTAGCAGAGAGTAGAAGCTTGTTGAAAAGCAAATTGAGAGCTGTAGAGCACCCTGGGATGAGAGGCAGGAGTGGTGGCTGATGTGATACAGCCTCTCTCGCTCAGCTCACTCCTGTTCAGTTATTCATCACCCTAGGTAAATTCAGGCTTTCCACGCTTTTCATGAATTATTCAGCAGCCTTCAAACTTGGGAAAGGAAGAAAAATATCTTGCTCAGAAAGTCTTGCAATTAGGGGGTTTCTTTCTCTATCCTTTACTCTCTCCTACTCCCTCCTCACCCCCTCCCCCATCAATTTCTCTTCTCTTTTTAGTCCCCTCCTTCTTCCCTCTTTGATTGAAATAGAACCTTATAGGTCTACAGCACCTTTATTCCAATCTGATTCACAGACTGGTAGGAGACGTTGTAGCTGGTGAAATAGATACTTTAAACCTATATCTTCCTATAACACTAGTTTATCAGGGATTTTTTAAAAAATCAAACAGTTAAATTCTCAGTTTCCCTGGGCAAAAAGCAACAGGGAGCAAATGTAATCCCTCAATGTTATTATTTTGGCTTTCCCACTCAACCCCTTTCCAGATGCTGTAAAGGAATAGTAAAGTATGGATTTCCTGTACAAAACAGCTGCAACAAGTGGTCAGCCACAGAGAGATGTCCAGCCTTGCACTCCTTCCATTACTGGGTCAGAGTTGTGGTTTTTTTTAATAATGAAATTACCAAAAGGCAAGTCATAAAGAATAAGAGAAAACAGGAATTGTGAATAATCTGCATAGTGAAAAATCATGCTCCAAGTGATAGAGATTTGGCAGCTTGCTTCCAAATTTATTTCCTTTTGAAATAAGGCCTTACTGGCAGTCTTTCACCTTTCCTGAAGGGGGGAATGTGCTTAAGGGGCAGCCCCCAAAAAACTGCTTCCTGAAAAAATGGGGGACAGTTATTTGAGAGAAGCAACAATGTATTAAGGAAAGAGCACCAAACTAAGGGTGGGGAATCTGAGGCTGCAAGACCAAATGCGGCCCTCTAGGTTCTCAAGTGTGGCCCTTTGACTGAATCCAAACTTCACATAACTAATCCCCTTAATAAAAGGATTTGTTCTGTAAAACTTAACTTGGACTCAGCCAAAAGGCCACACCTAAGGACCTAGAAGACCACCTCGTGGACACAGGTTCCCCTTTGCTGCAATAGACTAATAGTCTCTTTGATGGAGTCACCATTTACCAGCTTGTTGCCACTAACTAGCTATTTGACATCAGGTCAATCACAAAACTTGCATGATTTAGTATTTTCTTGTCTATGATGAGGGTATTAAACTCAAACTTTCTGGATCTAAAATTTAGTGATACTTAAAATCTACCCTTTTTCTATGGCCCTGGCACTTCTGCCTGACCAAGGCAAATAACACCTCACTTCAGTTCCAGCAGGAAAGCTAGGGTGATAAGAATCAAGTCCAAAGGTCTGACAGTATATAAAAGCAGAAGGTACAACCCACACCTCTAGGGTTTGTTTTCTCACCTGAAAAAAAAGATATTAAATTTTTTTCCCTTTCAAAGGAACCTTGCTGATTACTGTGTGATTGTAAAATGCTTTGAAGAAAGTGTTAAGTATTACTAAATTAAGTCTAACCCATTTAAACTGTTATTCAAATGAGATTGGTGGTGATCTCAGACTACAAAGCTAGATTTTTGCCATCTGGAGTCCTGTAATTGAAGGATCGAGGGATTGGGTGATTTTTCTTTATATTAAAAAGTATGCATCTAAAGTGTATTTACTGAGCACAATATAACCAAAAAAGCATTTATTAATTGCCTATTGTGTGTAAGACTTACCTTGTCTGCATACTTTTTTAGGGTTTTACACATAGCTGGTGAGGTTAAAGCAGGCATTGCCAATATTTGGGAGGCTCCCAAGGAAAATGTGGCAGAAAAGAGGTATTAGGCTGCCTACCAAACTGAAGGTCTACATAGCCCTTGTGCTGACCTCATTCTTGTATACCTATGAAAAGTGCACAGTATACCAGTGCCATGCCACGAAACTGAATCACTTCCATTTGAATTCTTGGGAAGATTCTGAAGATCACCTGGCAAGAGAAAGTCCTGAGGTCCTTTCTAGAGCTCAGCTGCCTAGCATTTAAACTCTGCTGCAGACAGCACACCTCTGATAGGCTGGCCATGTTGTTTGAATGCCAAACACGCATTTGCCTAAAAGACTGTTTTGTGGAGAACTCGCAAAAGGCAAGTGTTCACATGGAGGTCAGAAAAAGTGATACAAGGACACTGTCAAGGTCTCTCTGAAGAATTTTGGAGTTGATTGTGAGATATGGAAGACATTGGCACAGGACCGTCCAGCATGGCATGCCTGAATCAAAGAAGATGCTGTACTCTATAAGCAAAGCAAGAGTATAGTAGCTCAAAAGAAACATGAGATGTGCAACTTTAGAGGCATCGGCACTCCAAATGTTGGTATGGACTATTTGTGCCTGACAGTGGTAAAGTGTTCACAGCTCATATCGGTCTGATCAGCCACAGCCAGACACACTGTACCTTGACTCCCAAGTGTTCTCTTTGAACATGAAGGACAACAACCAAGCATGGGCAAGGCAAAGTAAGTAATCCAATTGGTCTAGACAGTTGTTTTTTCCACCCTAGGAGTTTGGTTGTTAGAGAAAAGATGTAGGATGGTAGCTTGAGAGGATAGCAAAATCAGGTGAAGGATGGGAGGGACTTGGGCTTATTTGTAGACAGCAGAAAATGAGTTAGATAAAGAGAAATTAAAGATTAGAATGAAATGATGATGAGAGGAGAGTGCTGTTGGAGGAGAGAGAAAAGATTGAATTCTACATGCATGGGAGGAGAGAAGATCAAAGGCACAAGTAACTATAGGCATTGACTTTGATGATGAAAAGTGCCCCCTCTTGCTCTGAGTCTGGAGCAGAGGAAAAGGGAATGGAGGTGAAATTATGAGCTGAGATCCTCAGCTGAGAGGCATCATGAATCATAGAAATTTGGAGCTGAAAGTTCTTCAAGCTCATATAGTCCATTTCCCTTATTTTATAGATAAGTAAACTGAGGTCCATAGAAGAAAAATTATTTGCCCAAGCTCACACAGTTGGTGGCAGAGCTAGGTCTCCTACTTCTTTATCCAGTGCTATAACCATTACACCACACTGTCTCTCAATTTCTTCCTTTTTTATAGCTGAGTACATTGTACAAAGCAAGAAAACCAAGGCTTTAAGTTTTCTTGAAATCCCTTACAATTAAAACTTGCAATTAACATCAAAACCTCTCCATTTTTACCATCTTAAAAAGGATTCTCCATTAAGCACCAAAATAGTGAGCAAATATTACAGTTCCAAACACAGGCAGCCTTCTCAGCTTTTCCTTCAAAAGTAAATTATACATGGAATGATGGCCTCAGTCCAGATTCAGGTGTTTTGGATTTTTGCCCCCAAGCCCAAAAGTCAATGTTGTCAGACTTCAGCACTCAAAGGCTTTTCTCCTCTCATCTAGTCCGTTTCCTTGACCTACTAGTAGATGTTCCCCATGCCTGCAATTCCTTCCTTCCTCACTTTGGTCTCTCAGAATTCCTAGTTTCTTTCAAAACTTGATTAAACATTACCTCCTAAGCTTCTCCAAATCCATAAGATCTTAGTCCCCCCTTCCTCCAATCAAATTCCTTTGTATTTTTGTATCTATTTTGCATATATTTATATATGCACATATTATCTTTCCTCTATAAACTCCTTGAGAGCATAGACTATTTCATATTTTTACTTTATACCCAACACCTAGTACAATGCCTGGTATATAACAGAGGTTTAATAAATGTTTGTTGATTGATTTATTCTCAAATCAATTAATTGTTGTCTCCCTCCCTCAACCCAAAACCCCCTGATTAGCTCAGTGTCACATACACAACTCCTTAGTAGAATTGAGGCTTGAACTCAGGACTGGAGTCTTTATCCAGGGTTCTTTTCACTCCACATGATCCTTAAACATCTCCTTAAACATAAAAATCCGAACTGTTGAGGCTAAGTCCAGTGTTCTCTCCAGTGCACCAAGCCAGATGGACTCCAAGTCATCCATTTTCCATTTATAAAGTTAAGCCCACCCTTACCCACATTCAGAGCTCCTTCCTATGTATGGGAAGCCACGCATCTGTCTCTGCCTTTATACCAGCAGGGCATCCACAGCCTAATGTTTCAGCTTTGGAGAGTTGCTTTGTGAAATTTCCAAGGTATTTCTTTAGTGACCTACATTCCCCATTTGCTTGTAGCTTTTCTAAGAATACCATTCTTTGGGCTTAAAATTGCTCTGACTTGGTGTGTCTGTCTAGAAAAGACTGCCCTCCCTTTCCTCCATTAAGGCACTTAATTTGATTTATTTTTTAATCTGCTTTTAAAAAACCTATGACTGTTGATATTAATGGCAGGACATAGAAAAGAGAGGTAGGAAACTTTCTAGAAATTAGAAACACCTCCTTTCTGTATTGAGATGAAAAAAAAATTCCTGTATTTTTCAGATACAAAATATGTTGACAATTAACATGTTCTACCTGAGAGAAGAGTCAAAGTTATTGCTCCCAGCCTTCATTGCTGTGAGTATTGGTTCCACCACTATTGACTGCCACTTCTAAATGGTCTTCACTTCCTTCAAAGCACAGCACAGGGCCCACTTTCTAAGTGAAGCCTTTCTTGATCACCCCAGTCCTCTTTAGAACTCTTTCTTTCTTGAAGCTACTTTGTCTACCATGGCATATATACTTTGCGTTTACTTACCTGTGTACATGACGTATTCCCTTTCCAGTGGATTGTGAGCTCCTTGAAAGCAAGAACCATTTCATTTTTATCTTTGTAGCCCCTGTGTTCAGCACAGGGCTTTGCCTTGTTGAAAGGAATTGCATATTGTTGAACTGAATTTGTTAGTTGTGGGAAGAGCAGAATATACAATTGTAAAGAATTTCTGTGGCTGGGGGCAGCTAGGTGGTACAGTGGATGGAACACCGACCCTGGAGTCAGGTGGACTTGAATTCAAATCCTGTCTCAGACCAGATATTTCACACTTACTAGCTGCGTGACCCTGGGCAAGTCACTTAACCCCAATCTAGAAGAAGAAGAAGAAGAAGAAGAAGAAGAAGAAGAAGAAGAAGAAGAAGAAGAAGAAGAAGAAGAAGAAGAAGAAGAAAAATTTCTATGGCCAAAAAAAAAAATTCTATCACCCAGTGGCCAACCTTCTGGCTAGGAACCTCTTCAGATTTAGACAGACTGTTCATTGAACAACATACATACGGATCTGTACATAAAACCTTTCTACCTTAATAGGAAGTGCCAAAATACCTCTCTGCTGGCATCGATTTTAAGAACTATTTAAAGTTCGGAGAGTACTTTGTACTCTATTATCTATTATCTATTATGTACTCTGTATATATTATCACATCATTTGGGGCTCTCAATAACCCTGTGAGATATTATCCCCATTTTACAGATGAGGAAACTGAAACTTTGAGAGGTTAATCAACTTGCCAATGATCACATGATGATAGATGTTTCAGGAGAGATTCAAACTCAGTTCTTCCCTGAACCCAAGTCCTTTCTGCTACCTCAGGCTGCCTCTCAGTGTTATACATTTGGATTGAATACTAGAATAGAAATTTCACCAAGGCAATTTATTCATGAGTAGGTTGAACTGATTTGCCAAAATGAAGGAAAAGAAAGAATGTTCATCTATGAAATGGAGAGAGAGACAGAGGGGAAGAGACAGACAGAGACAGGGAGAAGGGGGGTGGAATTAGGCAAGGAGGGAAAATCTTATTGGAATTATTGAATGGGAATTTAAGAAATACTTAATTATAAAAAATTCATGGAAGTGACAACTGACCCCTAATTCTCATGAACTTGGGCTAGTTTATATCGTTGATAAGGAGATAGAGTCTATATTCTACACTTTTTTGTATTTGTTATATCTTTGAACA